GGACTACAGGTGTGCATCACTATGCTTGACTAATTTTTTTATTTTTATTTTTATAAAATATTACAACATAAAGACAGGGATCACTATGTTGCCCAGACTGGTCTCCAACTCCTGGCCTCAGTAATCCTCCCACCTCCGACACCCGAAGTGCTGGGATTAGAGGTGTGAACCTTGCCTGGCCAAGATCTGCATTTTTAATAAGCTCCTCAGCTGATACTTGTACATGATCATATTAGAACCATTGTTTAGAGAACACAGAGTGAGAAATCAAACTTTAGCTTGGGAAGCAGCTGGGTGTAGGCGGTTTGGGAAAATCAGCTAAGGAGATGCAGCAATTGTGAACCTGGGCACTGGAGCCCCAGGCCTCTGAGGGAGCAGGTGTTCTGAACTGAAGCCCCAGAGGAAGGGAGCTGCTTGGGTTTGAGAGGCAGAGCTGCCCCACCCATCCAGCCAGGGCAGATCTGCCCGAGAATCCAGACTCTCCTGGATGGCGTTCCAAAGGCTGAACTCAAGATTTGCAAAGGAAAGCAGGAAGATAAGAACCGAAAACTGCAAAAAGGCATTATCAGTGTTCACTCTACCTCTCCCTTCATTTGAGCTCTGGAGGCACTAGGAGCCCTGGCCTCAATTCAGGCCTCCCTCCCCTCTCCACTTCCCCCGCCCACCCTTATCCTGCTCTTCCCCAAGGTGGTCATTTGCGGTGTCTCCCAGCCAGTGGGTGGGGCAGTAGTTTTTAAACGTCTGGATGCCCAGAAACCACCCAGGGACATAAGGGAAAAAGAGTACATCCTAATGGTTAAGAGCAGAGGCTCCCGGCGGGACAGCCAGAGTCAGGATCCCAGCTCTGCCATTTACCATGCACGACCTCGGGAAAGCTATTTAACCCCAGGGCCTCAGTGACTTTATCTGAAAAATAGAAGAGGCTTACTTAGAAAGTAGACATATAGTGGGATGTGGTGGCTGACGCCTGTAATACCAGCAATTTAGGAACCCAAGGCATGAGGATGACTTTGAGGCAGGAGTTCGAGACCAGCGTGGTGAACATGGTAAAACCCCCATCCCCTTCTCTATTAATAATATAAAATTAGCCAGGCGTGGTGGTACACACCCTGTAGTCCCAGCTACTCAGGAAGCTGAGGCATGAGAATCGCTTGAACCCAGGAGGTGGAAGTTGCTGTGAGCCGAGATCACACCACAGTACTCCAGCCTGGGAGTCTCACACAGTGAGACTCCATCTCAAAAAAAACAAAAAAGAAGTATGTGCTTGGGATATCAGACTAGGAGGCTGAGGCCACAGCACATGAAGTCTGCAAGACATGTGAAGTCTGCTGGGCCAATTAGAAATTTGGCTTTTATTATAATAGCATTGGGAATCCCTTGGAAAATTTTAAGCAAGGGAATGGCATCACCTGGTTCACATTTTTAAATACATTACTTTGCGCCAGGTGTGGAGTGGTTTACACCTGTAATCCCAGCACATTGGGAGGCCGAGTTGGGCAGATCATGAGACCATCCTGGCCAACATGGTGAAACCCCAACACTACTAAAAATATAAAAATTAGCCAGGCATGGTGGCGCGCACCTGTAGTCCCAGCTACTCGGGGAGCTGAGATAGGAGAATCACTTAAAGCCAGGAAGCAGAGGTTACAGTGAGCTGAGATTACACCATTTCACTGTAGTCTGGGGACAGAGCGAGACTCTATGTCTCAAAAAAAAAAAAAATTACTTTGGCTTCTGCATCTGGAAAAATGGAGTAGAAATACTTTTTTTTCCAAGTCAGTAAAAATAAAAACCCTGTAAAGTATATGCACAGCAAACATAAGCAGACTATGAAAGATGGACAGAAGATAAAATGTTGTTCAAGATGCAAGGAACAACACGAGGTTGAGTTCTCTGGGTTTTCTTGTTGCTTCCTACAGATTGAGCCGAGGCGGGCAGATTACCTGAGGTCAGGAGTTCAAGACAAGCCTGGCCAACATGGTGAAACACCGTCTCTATTAAAAATAGAAAAAGATTTAGCAGAGCATGGTGGTGAGTGCCTGTAATCCCAGCTATGCAGGAGGCTGAGGCAGATGAATCACTTGAACCGGGAGGAGAAGTTTGCAGTGAACCGAGATCACGCCACTGCACTCCAGCCTAGGCGACAAAGCAAGACTCTGTCTCAAAAAAAAAAAAAGGACATACATGACTTCTGTGTTTAGACTTGGGTCCCATCCCCACGACATCTCACATCTCATTACATATATATGCAAATATTCCAAATCTGAAAAAATCTAAAACACTTCTGGTCTGAGCATTTCAGATAAGGGATAGATAATCAACCTGTATATTCCAGACTCAGTGAGGCGGAAGCCAGTAACGTGTGCAGAGAAAAGTTCCAAAGAAAGCCCGCTCACTCTAGCAAAAAGACCAGGAAAGGCGCAGCCTACCAAGAAAGAAAACTTTCAGAGAATCACCACTTGAATCCAGCTAAACGCCACCCCATTGCCAGCAAAGCCCAAGTGGGGAGCCTGGCCTTTCAGGCTGAGTGGGGAGCTGAATCTCAGCCCCACTCTGTGGTAACAAGGCTCCCTTGTTCACCCCTGTTGGGGGTGTCAGAAGAAACCTAATCAGAACTGTTACCCCACCCATTGATATAAGCTCCCCTCCCCATCACTGGTGGTGAACATTACATGCGGAGCAGTAACGAGGCATCACTGCTCCTCTAGCCCAGGTGGTATCAGCAGAGATCTGGTGAATAGAATAAAGTGGGAGAAACACTCTACCAACTTCAAGGCTTACTGTAAGCACCAGTAATCAATACTGTAGTATTGGGCCAGGTGCAATGTGTGGCACCTGTAATCCCAGCATTTTGGGAGGCCAAAACAGGTGGATTACTTAAGCCCAAGAGTTTGAGTTCTACGAATAATAATAATAAAGATATTAGCCAGGTTTGTGGTGTGTGCCTGTGATTCCAGCTACTTGGGAGGCCAACCTGGGAGGAGTACCTGAGCCTGGGGAGGTCGAGGCTGAAGTGGCCCACGATCATGCCACTGCACTCAGCCAGGGTGACAAAGTGAGACTGTCTAAAAAAAAAACTAAGGCGAGCTCAGGGAGGACAGAAACCTCCTGTGGAGCAGAAGGGCAAAAGCTTGCCTGATCTTGATTTTCAGTACGAATACAAACCGTGAAAGCGGGGCCTCACGATCCTTCTGACCTTTTGGGTTTTAAGCAAGAGGTGTCATAAATTTTATCTTTTTTCTTTTAAATTAAAAATAATAATATTTAAAAAAACAGATTGTGGTATTGGTGGAAGGACAGACACATAGATGGAATATTTTCGTTACTCAGTCTACCAGTTCAAATGCTAATCTATTCGAGAAATAGCCTCACTGGCACACCCAGAAACAATGTTTTACCGGCTATGTGGGCATCACTTAGCTCACTCAAGCTGACCATAAAAATAACCATCCCAAGTCCAGCCCTTGTCAACTTGGCACCTATACGCAACTCTTTTTTTTTTTTTTTTTTTGAGATGGAGTCTCAGTCTGTCACCCAGGCTGGGGTGCAGTGGCGAGATCTCAGCTCACTGCAACCTCCGCCTCCAGGGTTCAAGTGATTCTCCTGCCTTGGCCTCTGAGTAGCTGGGATTACAGAAATGCATTATCACACCTGGCTAATTTTTTTGTATTTTTAGTAGAGACGGGGTTTCACTGTGTTAGGATGGTCTTGATCTCCTAACCTCGTGATCTACCCAATCCCAAAGTGCTGGGATTACAGGCGCACCTGGCCCTACACAAGTCTTAAAAACATTTAATTTCCAAATAAAGGCAATGATAGGGTTATAATTCCACCCATAATATGACTGAAACTGCACTAATCTCTTCCCCAGAAGAGGCGGTAAACTCCTTGAGTGGTGTTTATTCTTCTCCTGTACCCCATAATTTCATTGCTATGATGTAAAATTAACAATACTTAAATACTGATATGAAATCAATACACCTTATGTTTCACGATAAGGGGGAAAGAGAGAAAAGAAAACAAATATTTGCTTAATATGTGTATACATATGCACAAATGTGTTCATAAAAAATAAGGGAAAAGGCCAGGCGCGGTGGCTCACAGCTGCAATCCCAGCACTTTGGGAGGCCGAGGTGGATCACCTGAGGTCAAGAGTTCCAGACTAGTTCTGGCCAACATGGTGAAGCCCTGTCTCTAAAATAAAAAAATATATAATAAAAAGGGAAAAGATTCTGATTGACGATGATAGTCTTTGTTTCTGGAACTGGCGATGTGGTTGTATACAGTTTTTATGGCTACCTGTACTACAGAATATCCATTCAATATTCCCTTTACCTTCAACAAGCACCTCAGCTGGTCATGGTTCTTTTTTTTTTTTTTAGCCTGTTGCCCAGGCTAAAGTGCAGTGGCGTGATCTCAGCTCACTGCAACCTCCCCCTGAGTAGCTGGGATTACAAGCACCTGCCACCATGCCTGGCTAATTTTTTTGGTGTTTTTAGTAGAGACGGGGTTTCACCATGTTGGTCAGGCTGGTCTCAAACTCCTGACCTCGTGATCCACCTGCCTTGACCTCCCAAAGTACTGGGATTACAGGTGTGAGCCACTGTGGCCGGGCCTGGTCACGGTTCTTTACCGGGTGGAGTGACCCGAACTTTCATTCCTGAAGAGTGTGGGCCATTTGTAGCCCTGCCTGGCCGGTGTTGTTGCAGTTTCCCATTGACCTTAATTAAAGAGCAGGGTCACACTAAGAGATGCAGTAAGGCAGCAGTCCCCAACCTTTTCAGTGCCAGGGACCTATTCTGTGGAAGACAATTTTTCCACAGATAGCTGGTGGGGGATTGTTTTGGGATGAAACTGTTCCATCTCAGATCACCGGGCATCAGATTCGTAAGCAACACGCAACCTAGATTCCTCTCATACACAGTTAACAATGGGGTTCACGCTCCTATGAGGATCTAATGCCACTGCTGATCTAACAGGAGGTGGAGGCTCACGTGGTAATGCTCACTCACCTCTGCTACGTGGCCCAGTTCCTAACAGGCCATGGATTGGTACCAGTCCATGGACCCCCAGTACCATAGCTGACCAATCGCCCCAGGGAATAGTGCCATCTTGAGGGCTCAGTGTTGGTCTCTGCTGCTGGCAGATTGGGCACCCAGCAGGGGCCGTAGCCAGGTTGGCCTTGGCGAGTGGAAGTCCATGTTGCTGAGCCCATGAGCACCTCCATCCCTACCACCATGGCCACTTTGTTCATGAGCGCATTGGGCAATGTCAGGGATGGCTGGGGAAAGAGAGTTTCAGACCAGCCTGGGCAACATAGTGAGACCTCATCTCTATGAAAGTCTGGGCGTGGTGGTGCATGCCTGTGGTTCCAGGTACTTGGAAGCTGAGGTAAGAGGATCACTTGATCCCAGGAGGTCAAGACTGCGATGAGCTGAGATCACGTCACTGCACTCCAGTGTGGCGTGACTGGACTTTGTCTCAAAAAAGCCAGGCTTTGTCTCAAAAAGAAAAAATAAAAATAACAATAAAAAAATTTCACTGAGAAGGCCCATAAATTTTTGTCTAATTTATTCCTCTGAATCCAAATGTCTTATTGATAAGTCTATGACAGTCGTTATTCTTGCTCACTAGGTCCAATCAGTATATTGTCATCAGCGTAATAGAACACTGATATTTTATGAACCAGATGAGAGAGAGATGATAGAGATCCTTGCAGACTAACTGACGGCACAAGGCTGGAGAGTCAATGTTCCCTGAGGTAGCACAGTGAAGGTATATTGCTGGTCTTGCCAGCTTCTGCTGGTCCTATCGACAGGTATGGAGAAAAAGGGATATGTGATACAAAATCTAAACTAGTTCCAAGAAGCCTTTTTTGTTGTTGATTCTTTCAAATTTTCTTTATTTCTTTTTGTTTGTTGGTTTTTTGAGACAAGTCTCTCTTTTGTCCCCAGGCTGGAGTGCAGTGGTGCGATCTTGGCTCACTGCAGCCTCCGCCTCCTGGGTTCAAGCGATTTTCTGCCTCAGCCTCCTGAGTAGCTGGAATTATAAGCACCGGCCACTACGCCCAGCAATTTTTTTTTGTATCTTTAGTAGAGACGAGGTTTCACCATCTTGGCTAGGCTGGTCTTGAACTCTTGACCTTGTAATCCACTCACCTCAGCCTCCCAAAGTGCTGTGATTACAGGCATCAGCCACTGCGCCCAGTCTCCTTCAGATTTTCTATATAGGCAATGAAGTCATCTGTGAATAAAATTTTATATCTTCCTTCCTAATCAGCATGGTTTTCATTCCTTTTTCTTATGGCATTAGTTAGGACTCCAGTATTATGTGAAATGGAGTGGCGAGGGAGAATGTCCTTGCCTTGTTCTTAATCTTCTCAGCAATTGTTTTTAAGAAATTTTCCCTCTCTCTCTCTCTCTCTTTTTTTTTTTTTTTTTTTTTTTTTGTAGAATTGGGATCTCACAATGTTGCCAAGGCTTGTCTCAAACTCCTGGCCTCAAGCAATTCTCCCACCTTGGCCTTCCAAAGTACTGGGATTACAGGCATGAGCCACTGAGACTGGACTCCAATAATTTTTTTTTTTTTTTTTTTTTTGAGACGAAGTTTTGCTCTTGTTACCCAGGCTGGAGTGCAATGGCTAGATCTCGGCTCACCGCAACCTCCGCCTCCTGGGTTCAGGCAATTCTCCTGCCTCAGCCTCCTAAGTAGCTGGGATTCCAGGCACAGGCCACCATGCCCAGCTAATTTTTTGTATTTTTAGTAGAGACAGGGTTTCACCATGTTGACCAGGATGGTCTCGATCTCTTGACCTCGTAATCCACCTGCCTCAGCCTCCCAAAGTGCTGGGATTACAGGCTTGAGCCACCGTGCCCCGCTCCAATAATTTTTAACAGTGTCAGGCCAGGTGCAGTGGCTCACGCCTGTAATCCCAGTACTTTGGGAGGCTGAGGCAGGTGGATCACGAGGTCAGAGGTTCGAGACCAGCCTGGCCAACATTGTGAAACCCTATCTCCAAAAAAAAAAAAAAAAAAAAAAAAAACAGTGTAAAGAGGACCTGAGACCAAAACACTGAACAACCACTAGCCTGAGGAGCAGAATGGGTGTATGAGTTTTCTAGGACTGTGGTAGCAGAGTGCCATAAACCAGGTGGCTTACCTGACAGAAATGTATTGCTCAGCCCTGAAAGTTGGAAGTCTGAAATCAAGATGGCAGGCAGGGTTGGTTCCCTCTGAGGGGTGTGAGGAAGAACCTTCCATGTCTCTTGCCTGGCTGTTGCTGGTTGCTGGCAATCTTTGGCATTCCTTGGCTTGCAGAAGCATCACTCCAAACTACGCCTTCACCTTCACATGAGTGTATCTGTGTCCAAATCCCTTTTTATAAGGACACCAGTCATATTGGATCAGAGGCCCACCCAACTCTGGTATAGTCTCATTTTAACTAATTACCTCCACCAAGACCCTGTTTCCAAAGATGGCCACATTCTCAGTTCCTCAGGGTTCGAACTTCGACATATGAATGGAACAGGGTGGCACACTTCAGCCCATAGCTAGGGAGAGGCAATGGAGGTCCAAGCCTGAATACAGAGAAATTCCAGGATTTCAAGGCTGCTCAGAGGAGATGTGGGCAATAGCAAAGTCCCTTTTTAAAGTTTATTTTCTTGCTAAAGAATAAATTATAAGTATGCTAATAACTCTTTGTCAAACCCTATCCTGCGTAGTTGTTAGACATGCCATGTTTACAGGCGCATAGTAGATTCTATGTTATTGTACTTTAACCAAGATATGTGTGCTGGACGTGCTCACAGGCATGTCCCAGCTCTCCACTGCTTTTACCTGTTTAGAAAAGTTTTAAGTTATTAGCCAATCGGGTTTTAGTTTAGATTGTGAGGTCTGGCTCCAGTCAATGAAGACCAGACACAGCAGTAGGGACCACTCCAAATGCGTAAGGGATAAATTTGTGTATTTCTTTGTTTGTTGTACTCTTGTGGCATGATGGCTAGCAAGGGTACCCTTCCTGCAGTTCAGGAAGTAAAAAGTCGTTTGCTGAAAGATCCTTTGTCCCAGTGCTAATTTTTCTTTGCGGCACCAACCATCTATTTCCAACAGGAGACAAACAAGAAACAGAGGGAGGAGGATGATCAGAAGAATGAGAACTCAAAAGAAGAAAATGTCTCAAGAATCAAGGAGTGTTCATGAAGGGGAGAGCTGAGAAGGATCTGGAGGTTACTGGGGACCCCATGGATCCACTTCAATGGAGTGAAATGGGCAGGATTCAAAGTAGGAACTGGGGAGTCAAAGTCAGTGGCGGGTGAAGAAAAGATGGGCACAGAAATTGGCCAGGCATGGTGGCTCACACCTGTAATCCCAGCATCTTGGGAGGCCAGAGCGAGAGGACCACTTGAGGTCAGAAGTTCAAAACCAGTCTGGCCAACATAGTGAAACCCCACCTCTACTAAAAATACAAAAATTGGCCAGGTGTGGTGGTGCACTCCTGTAATCCCAGCTACTCAGAAGGCTGAGGCAGTAGAATTGCTTGAACCCAAGAGGCAGAGGCTTCAGTGAGCCAAGATCACGCCACTGTACTCCAGCCTGGGCAACAGAGTTAGACTGTCAAAAATAAATAAATAAAAAGATGGGCACAGAAATCAACCTGACCCAAAGTTGATTGGGTCAACTTTCTTTCAAACAACTTTCTTTCAAAAACACCAACTGTGAAGAGACAGGAGGGAGCAGGGCAGCAGCTGAAGACAAAATGAAGCATCAGGAGAGGGTTTTATTTATCTTTTTCAAAAGAAGAGACAGTTGATAACTTCCCCTCCCCAAATTCTGTGAGTTCTAGTTGGGAAATACATCTAGAAAATGGGAACCATGGCTGGGTATGATGGCTCACCCTATAACCCCAGCACTATGGGAGACTGAGGTGGGAGTACTGCTTGAGGCCAGGAGATCGAGACCAGTCTGGGCAACACAGCAAAACCCTGTCTCAATTAAAAAATTTTTTGAAATTTAAAATTTAAACAATGGGGTCAGGTACATGGCTCATGTCTGTAATTCCATCACTCTAGGAGGCTAAAGCAGGAGGATTGCTTGAGCCCAGGAGTTTGAGACCAGCCTGGGCAGCAGAGTAAGAGCCCCTCTCTACAAAAAAATTAAAAAATTAGCTGGACATAATGGTGCACACCTGAAGCCCCAGCTCTCAGGAGGCTGAGGCGGGAGAATCACTTGAGCTCGGGAGTGCAAGGCTGCAGTGAGCCATGATTGTGCCACTGCACTTCAGCAAAGGTGACAGAGTGAGACCTTGTCTCAAAAAAGTAACTTTTTTCCTGGGCACGCCTACTTTTTCTGACTCATGATGTACACTTGAGACAATCTCTTTGAACCATGACATCTTTGACATTTTATTAAGTTTCCTGTCTGAGCTCAATTTTTCTCTGTGCAACATTGCATCGCATTGCTGATTCATGGAAAATTGAAACAGGCCAAGCATTAGCAAACACAGTCCGATTTGTCCAAAACCAGAGGCAACTTTCTTTTTATTTTTTTGAGATAGAGTCTCGTTCTTGTCACCCAGGCTGGAGTGTAATGGCACAATCTCAGCTCACTGCAACCTCCTGGGTTCAAGCAATTCTCCTGCCTCAGCCTCCCGAGTAGCTGCAATCACAGGCCTACACCACCATGCCTGGGTAATTTTGTACTTTTAGTAGAGACGGGGTTTCACTATGTTGCCCAGGCTGGTCTCGAACCCCCGACCTCAGGTGATCCGCCTGCCTCAGCCTCCCAACAGGCTGGGATTACAAGAGTGAACCACCGCGCTCGGCCCAGAGTAAACTTTCTAAGCTCCTTATGTAAACCTCAAGAGTAAAGGAAGAAGGAAAGGAGGAAAGAAGAAACAAACATAGCTCTGGCCCCCCCGAAAGGGTGTCCATTGACAGGTGGGATACAGATGATTTAGTTCAATACACTCTTGCAGAAAAGTAAGGCACAGTGAGGATAAGTGACTTGCCCAAAGCCACATAATACAGTCATATTTCTCTAATTGTGTCATTGAAAGTCGTCCTCCTACGAATCCTTAAAGAGAATATTTGTATATACTCTCAAAGTCAACTCAATCAATACTTTGAAGGAAAATAATATTTCAATTCAGCATTAGGTTTTGAGAGAAACAACTTTCTTAGGGCAGAAGTGATCCTCTATATTATCCAAATGAACACTGCTTTGGACATTTGGTGTTTCATGCCACTGTTACGATTCTTTAGACAAGGCTGAGGCACACTGCCAGTTCCAAATGCTTTACACTTGGCCTCAAAGGTCCCTGGCAAGGCACTTTCATGCCCTGAGGACTTTCTACAAAATGGCTTTTGAGGGTGAAGAGATGAGCGTTCCACTTACATTCCTTTAAAGTGGGCATTCCTTTAGACACAGGGCTTCCTGTGTTCGCATCCTTGTAACCAGGATTAGGAAGCCATTGTGCATGATTACGTGTTCAGCTGTACAAGATCAATTTACAAGAGGATGACAAAGGATAAATGGAGAGCCAGCTAAAATATTTGCAAGAAATTTAATCCAAAAATAATAATCTAGCTGGAAAAGTGACAATATGACTTTTCTAAAAACAGCATCTAATTTTTCGGAACTGAATTCTCACCAGATCGCCTTCATTCAAATAATTGATTTTATCACCCACTCAAGTTGAATACTTTTTTTTTGAGACAGAGTCTCGCTCTGTCACCCAGGCTGTAGTGCAGTGGCGTGATCTCAGCTGACTGCAACCTCTACCTCCTGGGTTCAATCAAGTGATTCTCCTGCCTCAGCCTCTGGAGTAACTGGGACTACAGGTGTGCGACACCACATCCAGCTAATTTTTTATATTTTTGGTAGAGACAGGGTTTCACCATGTTGGCCAGGCTGGTCTTGAACTCCTGACCTCAAGCAATTTACCTGCCTCAGCCTCCCAGGCTGCTGGGATTACAGGTATGAGCCACCGAGCCTAGCCAAACTGAATACTCCTTCATCTTTGGCCAGGCACTGACTCCACCACCCACCATCCATTAAAATATGCACTCAGACAAAGTGCTTGAGACAGAAAAGAATGATTTGAGGTTGCTTAGAAAAGCGGGCATGACATTCAACTTCCTCTATTGTATGCGCGCATGCACACACACACACATGTGCAATTGAATGCAATTCATTGATAGTAAGGTCCAAGAGGTCATGAATCAGCACACTGAGATCAAATCTATGATGCTGGAACCAGGATCATCCGACCCATGCACATTTCCTCCTGGCCATGACCTTTTCCAAAAAGGTGTCTCAGTGCTCACTGGTGCCATCCAATGTCAGTGGGGCCCTCCCTGCTGTTCTACCCTTTCTGTCCTCTAGATCGCATCCTAGGACACAGAGCCCTCCCAGTGGCTCTCAGACAGCTCCGTTTTCTTCCACCCTCTACTCCTCACTCCCCTCAGCACACGACCACCTCATTCCTTAGAAGATCCTCCTCCACCACGGAGCCCTCCAGCTTTCCTCTTCTCCACCTCAGCTTACCTTGGCTGTGCCTCTTTCTCTTCTTCTCTTCAGAGCAAAGCTTCTTCACATTCCTTTCACTCCTGTCTTCACCTGCCAGTCACTGAGGAAATGGAAATGAGATTTAGTAAAATGAAGTCTTATCATAGAAAGAATAGAACAGGCTGGGCTCGATGGCTCATGCCTGTAATCCCAACACTGTGGGAGGCCAAGGTGGGAGGATTGCTTAAGACCAGGAGTCTGAAACCACCATCGGCAACACAGCAAGACTCTGTCTCTACAAGAAACAAACTTAGCTGGGCTCATGGCGTGCACCATAGTTCCAGCTACTCAGGAGGCTGAGGTGGGAGGAACATTTGAGCTGGGGAGGTCGAGGCTGCAGTGAATGAAGATTACACCAGTGCTCTCCAGCTTGGGTGACAGAGTGAGACCTTGTCTCAGAAAAAAAAAAAAAAAAAAAGAGAGAGAGAGAGAGATAACAGAACGCCCTGAAGTTTATCATGGGTGCATTTCTTACCTATAGCCTAAGGTTTAGAGAGTGAGAAAGAAGAGAGAGAGAGAGAGATGGAGTCTCACTATGTTGCCCAGGCTGGTCTCAAACTCCTGGGTTCAAGCACTCTTCCCACCTAGGCCTCCTGAAGTGTGGGGATTACAGGCATGAGCCACCATATCCAGCCCTAGCCTAAATTTTTCACTTGAGATTACCTCCCCAGTTATTTGCATTTTCTATAATTATATTTACACTCAATTACACAAGTATGTTTCATACCGTGATTTCCACCTCCACTTTTTAAAAAAGAAGAAAAGAATTTAAATGTAGTAGTTTGTTTCTCTTCTTTCTTCACTTAATATCCTGCATTGACTACAGAGTCATAGAAATCTACCATTGGAAGAAACTTAGGGATCATCTCATTCAGCCTCCTCACTTTAGAGAGGAGAAAACAGAACTCCAGGGAGCAGATGCAATTTGCTCAAGGTCCCGCAGCTAATTGGTGGCAGAGCCAGAAGCAGAACCCAGGACTCTGCATTTCAGGGTCTTTTCATGCTATCACTATAGCTTTTCAGTTGTTTCTCACAGTACTTAACACGCCCGTGTGTTAGGAACTATACATAGCAATCCCCTTCTGAGCAGCATGTATCCCATCTGCAGAGTCCTGTGGGCCCCAGAGAAAAGTCATCTCACAAAGGATGGAAGGCATAATTCCCCCAGATTTTCCCCCTTGTGTTCCCCTCCTAGAATGCCGCATCAACGCCAAGTTTACATGACTTCTCCAAGGTCACGCTAGGCATGGTGGTGCATACCTGTAGCCCCAGCTACTCAGGAGGCTGAGGTGAGAGGATCACTTAAGCCCAGGAGTTTGAGGCCATAATAAACGGTGATTGCACCTGCGAATAGCCACTGTACTCCAACCTGGGCAACAGAGAAAGACCCTGTCTCTAAATAAATAAATAAACAAAATGAAACATATGGACAAAGCATTTTCAAAGAAAAGAAAAAAGAGGTCAGGCACGGTGACTCACACCTGTAACCCCAGCATTTCCAGAGGCCAAGACAGGAGGATTGCTTGAGCCCAGGAGTTTGAGACTAGCCTGGGCAACAGAGCAAGACACTGTCTCTACTAAAAATTAAAAAATTAGCTGGGTGTGGTGGTGCATGTCTGTAGTCCCAGCTACTCAAGAGGCTGAGGCAGGAGGATGGTTTGAGCCCCAGGAGGTGGAGGCTTCAGTGAGCTGTGATTGCACCACTACACTCCAGCCTGGCAGATACAGTGAGACTCTGTCTAAAAAAAAGGAAAAAGAAAAAAATAGAAGGAAAGACAATGAAGGAAAGTTTTAGAAGAGGCCAAGAAACACAGTGGGAGAGAGGTCTTTGGATGTTGGGAAGACGAGGCCAAACTTGACTATCCGGTTCCTTTCAGTTTTATGTGAACAAAACTGGAAAAGAAAAATTGGCAGAATGTTTGTCACAAACCTGCAGCTTATTTCCAAAAAACCTTAGCTTAAAGTTACTCTTTAAGAACACACATCTCTGTTTATTAAACAAAAGATGAATCTAACCACAGGCTCAGCTTGTTGTGCCAACAACAGAAATATTTTGCACAAATGATAAGACTAATTGTAGGGAACCAGAAATTGCCAATCATAGAGTTGAGAGCAGAAAAGACCTCCCTTCCAATTGTGTATTAACTTCACCTTAAAATGTCCTTACCTGATTGATGCCAGTAACTCACAAACTTTTCTACCCGAGCTATCCCACAGAAGAACGGGCTGTCTTAAAAATTAGTGAGAAACTGGTCACCTGAGGCATTTAAGCAGAAGTTGAACAAACAACCTTAAGAAGCAGGACAGGTCAAAGGCAGCTGTACAAAACTCTGTAACATCCTACTTTCTTTACAGGAAGGTGATATGGTTTGGCTGTATCCCCACCCAATCTCATCTTGAATCGTAGCTTTCATAATTCCCACTTGTCATGGGAGGGACCCAGTGAGAGGTAATTGAATCATGGTGGTGGGTCTTTCCCGTGCTGTTCTCCTGGTAGGATATGAGTCTCAGAGACCTGATGGTTTTATAAATGGGAGTTCCGCAGCACAAGCTCTCTTGCCTGCCTCCATGTAAGACGTGCTTTTGCTTCTCCTTTGCCTTCTGCCATGATCTTTCCATGTGGAACTGTGAGTTCATTAAACTTGTTTCCTTTACAAATTACCCAGTCTCGAGTATGTCTTTATTAGCAGCCTGAGAACAGATTAATACAGAGGGCATCCTTCCGAGGTTAAAGATTGGCCCAGATGGTCTCTAAGGTCATTTTCCAAAATTGAGATTGTAACTGCAACTCTGGGTTATATCCTATGTCTTCTTTCTAGTCTTCTTTGTGTCCTGACCATTCCTGGATATGTCTGTACATTCCATTGTGGCCGTGAGCAGTCCAAGAGCAGAGGCTGTGATAGGCAGTAATCTGTACCGTGTGAAACTTAAAACGTAACATTTTCTTTTTTTGGTCTTTTTTTTGAGACAGTCTCACTCCATTGCCCAGGCTGGAGTGCAGTGACACAATCTCGGCTCACTGCAACCTCTGCCTCCTGGGTTCAAGTGATTCTTCTGCCTCAGCCTCCTGAGTAACTGGGATTCCAGGCACACACAACCACACACAGCTAATCTTTGTATTTTTAGTAGAGATGGGGTTTCACCATATTGGGCAGGCTGGTCTTGAATTCCTGACCTCAAGTGATACACCCACCTTGGCCTCCCAAAGTGCTAGGATTATAAGGGTGAGCCACTGTGCCTGGCTAGCTTCTTTTTTTTTTTAATGGAAAAGAAGATTCCCTGATATTGAAAATTTTTCCCAGGTAATGAGACAGATACATAAAATGTGGTCTATCTGTTTCATTGTCACTATATTGCTTTCCTGTGAAATACTTGTTAAAAATGTATTAACCTAGGCCAAGCACAGTGGCTCACGCCTGTAATCCCAGCACTTTGGGAGGCTGAGGCAGGTGGATCACCTGAAGTCAGGAGTACGAGATCAGCCTGGCCAACATGGTGAAAACCTGTCTCTACAAAAATACAAAAATTAGCCGGGTATGATGGCGGGTGATTGTAAACCCACCTACTCAGGAGGTTGAGGCACCAGAATCACTTGAACCTGGGAGGCAGATGTTGCAGTGAGCCAAGTTCACATCATTGCACTCCGGCCTGGGTGACAGAGCAAGACTCTGTCTCAAAAAAAAAAAAAAAAAAAGAGAAGAATTAACTTGATTTCATTTCTTGATCATAAGAACAATATACATTATTCATTATTTAAAAATGAAAACACAAAAAAGTATTAAAAAGAAAATTGAAACCACCCAAAATTGTACATCCTAGATATGGCCACTACTGACATTTTGAGAGGATTCATTCCAAACATTTTTCATTGTATACGTGCATATTCTACAAAACTGGAATTATTTTGATACGTAGATTTATATCCTGATTTTTCTGTTTTGTATAATATGGCAAATGTTCTCCCAAATAATTAAATGTTACCCAAGAATTTTTTGTTGTTGTTGTTGCTGTTGTTTTTCTGAGATGGAGTCTCGCTCTGTAACCCAGGCTGGAAAGCAGAGGTATGATCTTGGCTCACTGCAACCTCTGCCTCTTGGGTTCAAGTGATTCTCCTGCCTCAGCCTCTTGAGTAGCTGGAATTACAGGCACACACCACCAGTCCTGGTTAGCTTTTGTATTTTTAGTAGAGATGGGGTTTTGCCATCTTGGCTAGGCTAGTCTCGAACTCCTGACCTCAGGTGATCAGCCCATCCTGGCCTTCCAAAGTGCTGGGATTACAGGCGTGACACCATACCCGGCCCCAAAAACTGTTTTAATAGCTACTCTTTATTTTATATAAGATGCTTCCAAGCTTTCACTTTTACAAACAATGTAATATTGAGATGGAGAACCTTGGATATGCATTTTGTGCTTATTTCTGGCTATCTCCTCGGGGATAAAATTTCTAAAGGGCTACATGATAGAAGGAAAGGTACCCAAAATAAACTGACACAAATCATCTCAATTCCTGACACTGGAATGACATGATAGTAGATTTCTGTTGCTCCCAAGCACTTGATTAAAGCAACAAAATAAAAAATCACGTCTACAGGAAGAGAGCATTTTCCTAGGTCTCAAGTTATTTCTATAAACAATTGTGTGTAATTGCCATTTTGCACACAATAAAAAAATAACCAGGTATGCAAAGAAACATGACCACATGATTGAAAACAAAATAAATAATAGACAATGGAAATGAACTCATGGGAGAAAACTGGAAAGACGGAGGCTATCAGACACAGATTTTAAAGGAATTCTATCCCCTCTACTGATGAAGATGAAAAACAGGACTGAATAGCCTGGCAGAGAAAAAATATAAAAAAGAACACAATGGAAATTCTGGAACTAAAACTAAGATAATCAAAATTAAGAACCCAGTGGGTAGTTATAAAAGGGGATTAGACGCAGATGACAAGAGATTTAATAAAAGATAGGGCAGAAGACAATATCCAGAGTAAAGCACAGGAAAACAAAAAGATAAAGAATAAAGAAGGGGCTGGGTACAGTGGCTCATGCCTGTAATCTCAGCACTTTGGGAGGCTGAGAGGGGCAGATCACCTGAAGTCAGGAGTTCAAGACCAGCCTGGCCAACATAGTGAAACCCCATCTCTACTAAAAATACAAAAAATTAGCTGGGTGTGGTGGCAAGCATCTGTAATCCCAGCTACTCGGGAGGCTGCAGGAGAAAAATCACTTGAACCCAGGAGGTTGGGGTTGCAGTGAGCCAAGATTGCACCACTGCATGCCAGCCTGGGCAAGAAGAGTGAAACTCTGTTTCAAAAAAGAAAAAAGAATAAAAAAGAAGGTAAGAGAATTAGAGAATATAGTAGAAAGAGCAAACCTATGTGTAATCAGTTCACAAAAAGAGAGAAGAGAATGGGTTCACAAGTAGTATTTGACAGCTGAGAAGTTTTCAAAACTTATGAATAACATCAAGCTCCATATCCAATTGCCTACAAAGCCAAACAGGACCAAAAAAAGGAATCTATACCTGGGCACATCAGAGGAAACTGCCAAAAACCAAAGGCAAAGTACCCCGAGGCAGGTGGATCACGAGGTCAAGAGATCGAGACCATCTTGGTCAACATGGTGAAACCCCGTCTCTACTAAAAATACAAAAAAAAAAAAAAAAATTAGCTGGGCATGATGGCGCGTGCCTGTAATCCCAGCTACTCAGGAGGCTGAGGTAGGAGAATTGCCTGAACCCAGGAGGCGGAGGAACGGTGAGCCAAGATCGTGCCATTGCACTCCAGCCTGGGTAACAAGAGTGAAACTCCGTCTCAAAAAAAAAAAAACAACCGAAGAGATAAAAGAGACAGGTTATCTGCAAGGGAACCCCCGTGAGGTAGACAGAAACAATGGTAGTCAAAAGAAATAAAAGGTTACCTTTAAAGCACTGAAAGAAAATATCTGCCAACTTTAAATTTTGTACCCAGTGAAGGTATTTTCCAAGAATGAATGAAGAATAAAAACACATCCGGACAAACAAAAACAGCGCGTTAATCGTTCCAATGAGGGAATCCTAAATGGTATTCTTCAAAGAGAAGGAAAATGATTGCAGATGGAAGATCAGACATGCAGAAATATATCAAGAACAATAAACTGATAAATATGTAAATAAATTTAATACATTTCACACATATATTCACTTGGAAAATAATAATAAAGACTTATTGGGTTAAAACATATGCAAAT